TTTTCTTTTCTTTTCTTTTCTTTTCTTTTCTTTTCTTTTCTTTTCTTTTCTTTTCTTTTCTTTTCTTTTCTTTCTTTCTTTCTTTCTTTCTTTCTTTCTTTCTTTCCTTTTTTGAACCGGGGATTGAACTCAGGCCCTTGTGCTTGCCAGGGAAGCACTTATTCTACTGAGCCATCTCCCCAGCCCCAGACTTGGTCTTCTTAAGTCACTATGTTGCATAGGCTGGACTTGCACTTACGGTTCTCCTGCCTCAGCCTCCCACAGAGTTGAATTTTTAAAAAGGCAGCCAGCAATTTCTCAAGTGAATTTAGTCTAGCAGAAAACCAAATCCCTGAAAGACCTGTTATAATTAGGACACCAAGAGGTTAGCATAGACCTTGACTACCAAACCAGTTCTTGATGATGAAATCTTGGCTTCAGGTCTGCTTGTGTTTGGTTAGTTGTCCACCCACTCTGTCCTGCACAAAGGTCGTGTTTGCCTTTTCCTGCTTATGTTGATATAGCTGCTGCTGACTGTGTCTGCCTAACAGGAAGATAGGGGAAGGATGTATGGGAGCCTCACTGGCTTCTTGATGATGGCCTCTTGATCTTGGAAGAGATTTAAGGTACAAGGAAGAAATTTATTTGACAGGGGCTCCTGACATATAGTGGGTGAGCAATAAAAATAGATGAATGATTGCCACATGTGGAAAAGACCATGTTAGTGGGGATTATAGCTTTTGTACCATAGGACCCTGTGAATCTGGCTAGAATATTATGGGTATGGTCAACCCAGAAAAGAAGAATGAAGAGGTTTGGAAATGGGCACCTAGGCATCTATCTACTTCTGCCCCAATCCTTGCAGAGACTGTCCATATAGAGATGCCAGTGACACCTGGCTCTTGGTGTCCCCTAGGAGTGGGAATGGGGGTGGGGCTCTTTGGGAACAGTATACACCAGAGGGAGTGGCAGTGATAAGGCCATACTAACAGGCTTTTTGCTCCTGCCATAGGGATGCCTTCTTCTGTTACATAGTTACCACAAATGCAACTGTTTTCTTATGTTGGGTGAAGGAAACCCTGGAGAAGAGAAGGGACCTACAGCCAGGGTTGTCATGTATGGCTTCTCAGGCTATGCGCTGCAGAACAGTAGAGGCTGACACTCATAGGCGATGTGAGCCTACTTACGCAGATGCTCAGAAGCCTTGATCTGTGAATCAGATATAACACCAGTGCTCAGGCCCATTGGCATCTTGCAATCTATGAAAAAAAAAAAGAAAGCAAGAATTTTTGCTTAGAAAATATATAAAACAAAGTAAAACTCCAGGGCTTGATAACATGCCTTTGAAGGGTCAGTCATTACATATTTTCATTTATCTTGTATGTCACCGACTTACCTATGTGTGATTATAATAAATGCACTAGTAAAAGTGATGCTTTAATTTAAATTGAGACACCATAGAGGAAAACAACAGAAATCTTGAAATACGACTGGCTTTCAATCTGATTTTCATCTTCTTGGATCTTAAAATAAGCAATTTTACAATATGAAATATTTTCCCTCACAAGACTATGGTCTCAAATTTTTTTTTAATGAGCAGAATATATTTATGGAGGGAAAGAAAGCTCCTGTCTGAGAGAGGGCCTGACTGGGTAGTTGCCCTAGTCTCAAAATTTGACTTGTCAGTTCACATCTTGGTTAAGGAAGGAACTACCAGCCACTGTGCTACTCTACTCCGTAGGAGCTTAGTAAAAGCTAGATAGATAGACAGATGGATGGATAATTAGATAGATAAATAGATAGATAGACAGACAAAAGAGGAAACTGTTTTTGAATATTAACATGCCAGGTGCAGGGACTACTTCAATCATTATTGAATTCTTTTTCCCTTTTTCCTCCTCAACTTTATAAACATGGAGAATTTCTTACATGCACTTTCCCACTGAGCACAAAGAATGAGGAAAAATGCTTTTCATCAGTTCCCCAACTACGAGGAGTGCCTTTGATGTAGACCATTTGGTTTCAGTTTTCTAAGTCAGGGATCCCGAACCTGGCTGTACAGAGCAGCCAGTGAGGGAGAGCAGCTTCATGTGCATTACAGCTGCTTCCAGTGTGGCTTGCTTTACCACCTGAGCTCCACCTCCTGTCGGATCAGTAGTGGCACTAGGTTCTCATAGGAGTGAGAGCCCTACTGTGGACCGTGAATGCGAGGGATCTAGATTGCTTGCTTCATGGAACCATTCACAGATCAAAACTTGTCTTCATGATTCCGGTCCTTGGTGTCAAAAGTTTGGGGACCACTGTTCTAGATGACTGACTTTTGTTGTTATTGTTGTTGTTGTTGTTTTTCTTTTGCAGTCAAACTGTAGTCCAGAATAAAAACAATGATGGTTACAAATTATGCCTTTGTTACACCAGAGTTATTAGAGTTGGACACTTTCCTCCTAAAAATTGGCAATATTCCAGTTATGGGCTCTTTCTTTCTAAAAAATACCACATTTTTGGGTAATACCTTTGTCTATGATGAGAAATGGTGTTTGCATCCCTGCTCTTTGGTTTTCTCCAACTTCTGTGTCTAGGAGCCACCAACCAGGTTTTGATGCCTTCATTTCAAGAGTTTTAAATGAACCTAGAATAGAGAGTTAGGACAAAATATAAACTCAAAGATTATCAGGCCTGTCTGAGCTATCTGAGGTAGGATAGTATCATGACTTCCCTACCCAAACTTCCATAAGTGCCTGCCTTTCACTAGTTCTTCAGACAGCATTTGTAGATGGGAGGCTGCTTATTAAAAAATATAGAATCCAGGAGCTGGGGCTGGTGGCACATACCTGTCATTCTAGCACTCTAGAAGGTTGAGACAGGAGGACTGCAAGTTCAAGCCCAGCCTGGGAAACGTAGCAAGACTCTGTCTCCATAACAAACAAACAAACAAACAAACAAACAAACCATAAAAGAACTGGAGATATTCTTCAATACAAAGGCCCTAAGTTCAGTCCTCAGTATTGGAAAAAGAAAAAAAGCAGAATCCTTCCTAATAATTCTATCCAAGATCCATCTTATTAAAGTCTCTAAAAGCAAAATCTCTGCATTTTAGCCTCTGCATATTAACTAGCTTTCTAGGTTTTTACTATGAAGTTTGTGAACTAGAGACCTTTACATCTCATACCCATACTTGCATAATTACTAAGAAAACATATACCTATAAACAACGTATTGGTGTATCTTAATTCTTTGTGATGACTGTAGCTTGTTTAACTCTATAGATACTATGACATGAAAATCTCTAGATACTTTATTTTTTAGCTTTAGCAATATTTTTTTCTGGGACTGGCCAGATAGCTGAGAGGACTAAGAGCCTGCTTTGGCAAGTGCAGGGACCACAATCCCTGGTCCTGCATGCTGCAGTGGCCCTGCCCCTGGGGTGTGCTGAACCCATGACTGAGTCCATGCATGGTGGCGCACGCCTGTAATCCCAGCGCTGGGAAGGCAGAAAACAGGAGGATCACTACGAGTCCAAGCTATGTAGTGAGACCCTGTACTGAATACATAAAAAAAAAAGAAAGAAAGAAAAATACTTTTTTTAAAAGTTCCCTTTTCTCAAGACAGCCTGAGATGTCATTTCATGGTTATGATTCCTGGAGTTAATTACCCACCAAAACAAACAAACAAACAAACAAAAACAAAAAAACCAAGCCACAGTGCCACAGCCAAGAATCCAGAAACCCTTATAAGTTTTCAGTCTCCCTCTCAATAGGAAATACTACACTTTCCCATGTTCTCATTTGGTCTTTTGCTTGAAACCAGATCTGCACATGGGGCCTTGTTCTGTAGAACCAAGTTGGGCCACACATTTAACCATATGGTGCTGCCACTTGGTTCACTGCTTAGCAGGCATTTTTGTGCTTTGCATGTAGTTTTACTATTGGCTTTGCCCTAGATCTATGCTGAACCCTGTGTTTTCACTCCTTAGGGTGTAGACACACAAGAGAAAATAGGTAGCCAGAATGAGGGGTAGTCAGATGCTAAGATTGCGTTCTCTCGCTGCTTCTGAGAAGGGACCTCATCCATCATCGGATCTTTACCAGGTAGAAGGGGGAAGACCCCTAACTGGTGCTGTTGAGCGCCATTCTCCAGCAAGGTCTGGCCGTGAAAGTGAACCACATGAATGTCTCGGGAGCCGCCCATGTTCAACAGGTGCATCCTCACCCACTCTTGCTCGTACATTCTCAGGCCAGGCAAGTTGTAGATCATCCCATTAATGGCTGAAAGGACAGAGCATTGCAATCAGCTGAAACCCTGTAAATGTCAGGAACAGGCTGATAAGGAAATATGGGGCAACCCACTCACCACCCATTTTCCTCATTATGTGGCCTCCCTGGTCCCACCCAGGGGTAGAGGACTGATCTAGGTCATAAAACCGGTGTGAGAGGCTAGAACAGGCCCTCTAAATCCTCATGTCATTTCCACCGACCTACAGAGGTGTGGGCAAGGTCCTCCTCCAAATAGGTTATCTTATCATTCTTTCCCCATCGTTTACACCTGTCCTCTGCACTTAGTCCATTCATACATTGCATCAGTAGTGTTAATATTCCTTTGCTGCTAAAAGATGAAGACCAACATGGCAGATAATTCAATCAGCAGGATGAGAATGAGGGCACATGCAGCATGTTGCTCCAGGTCCTTTTGAATCCAGAGACAGATAGGGCTGGGCCAAACTGGGAAGTTGGAGTTTACCTTTGGTGTATCTTATAGCTATAATGGCTCATGTTATTTTCCCAGATGGGTTCTCAGGTTGTGCCTACTCTCCCCTTAGGGAAATATGTGTTTGATCTTTTTAAAAGCTTGTTCACCTTAGAAATACAGCACAACATTTTAATGATAAAGGTTCATGCTAGCAGACAAGGGAAGTTTTGTTTTTCTCAAATTAAAGGAGCTGAATTGGACTTTCAAGAACTAGGCAAGGGAGGTTCTTGTAGGTGCATCAGTCAGGCACTCTAAAAATGTGCTCAGGTATACAGATACCTGTCTGTAAACATACATACCTCTTACATCTATTTTGAGTTTCTGTTTAAGAAATAGATCCTATAAGAGTGGAAGGCAACTTAAGTGATTATTAAACTGTTGTTACACCAGAATGTGGAAGGGAAGACACTCAACACAGCAAATGCTCAGTAAGCATCAATCAGTTAAGCTGAATGATAGAATTCAGTTATTTATTCACTGGTTTGCAACTCACTGAGCAAGGCCAGACATAAAGTTAGGGGCGGGAATCAGGAGGTCTTCCTATCACATAACCTGATAGGTGGTAGTATATCGCGGAGATTTTTAAATTGCAGAGACTTGAACTATAGCACACATAGGACTAAAGCTACAGTGCATATGTTTCACTCCTTGCAGAAATCAGTGCCCAGAAGCTCAAGTGAGTAAAACACAGCCAAGAGAAAAGTCCACTTGCTTCTGCAGCCTCTGCTTTCCTACTAGGCTGAGAGGTTTGGTGGGCCTCCTGCTTCAGACACCAAGCATACTGGGCCAAGGGGCCTACTAGAGGAAAAAGGTAAAGGGAAGAGGAGAGAGAAGACAAGGGGAAGTTGGGGGAGGACAGGAGAGGAGAGAATGAAAAGAAGAGAGGAAAGGGGAAGAGAAGGGCAGGTAGCTGACAAGGGAAGAGGTGAAAGTTCTGCTTATAGTCTTGATTCTCTGTCTCTTAATGGACTCTCTAGATTTCTTCATAGGCTATAAATGTTTGAATTTAAAAACTTTTAATGTTTTCATGAGAATTAGGGTCCATCCTTAATTGAAACAGATCATAAATCATGTTTGCCTACCTCTGTCTCAAAGTATGCTTACAGGAGAGATCTCTAAACTTCTAGGAGAATTAAGGTAAGATATAAGATAAAGAAGGGTGGCCTGAACGTGGAATGGTAGGATGGGAAGACAAACCTATGAAGCCTTGAGGAGTGGCTGCAGGTGGCATTGATTCAGATGTTGTATATAATGTCTAGCAGGTTTTTCCTACTCTATTACTCTTATCTGTTACCCAACACAGGTTCTCACAGATGAGAAAGCTCAGAATATTCACCCCATCCATCAAACTTTGCAAAAAGTATTAAGTCTGTTTACTTCTAATTTCCATGCCATTCCTTTTGTGCTCCATCAAACCTTAAATTCTGCCTCTCTCTAAAATTGTTTGCAATTCAGTTGTCAATTTACTGGCCAAGTTCCTGAGTAGGTTTCTAAACAGAGATCCTTTCTCTCTTGTGACTTCCTAAATGCTCTTTTGTCCCTTTTCTCCCATTACCTGGCTGCCTTGGGACCTATCTTCTTTTGTTGACATGTGTCACTTGGCATAGATGCCACTGATGGCTGCTGAGAGCAAAACCTTCTGGGATCATTCTTATTTTTAAAGACACATGAGTGATCATTTTCTCTGCATAAATACTCGCACTTTTAGAGAACAAGATACAGGTTCATTGGCTTCTTGAAGTGCAGAGCACTGTACTTTCTTTTCTTCATGCTGCCATCTGAGGTATACTGGCCTCTGCTCATTGGACTGCTTTGCTTGGCCTGTGAGCACCACCTTCTGGACTCTCTCTGTGCCTACTGCCCCACAGTGTTGCCTGCCAGATGGCTCAGCCCTTGGAGATGCTAAGGAGCTGGGTTTAGTTGTAGCTTCTGGTTGCTCAGAAGCATTAATGTCGAATCTGTGAAGCTCTATGAACAGGAATCTCTGTGACCCAGTGTGATTTAATTCACAGATTAGATCAAAGTCAGAGAAATACCATGGAATTTGTGGGAGTCTTTTACTTCTGAAGATTCAACCTTCCAAGTCCTTTTGTACTTTCCATAGTACCAGCTTTTTTTCTCATCAAAGACCATAAAGAGTAAGACAAATTCTCTCATGTCCACAGGCATGTTGCTTTGCTTGTGAAGGGTTCCTTTTCGGCAGATCAGAAGGGGCCCTATTAAGCCTGAGTGGATGTCTCTTTCCTGGAAGACAGAAAGCAAATTGCACTCATTCTCCTTTGCTCAGGATTTTCTTTGCTCTTGCAACAATTATATATAGAAAAATAAATATCTCTTTAGTGACTCTGCATTTACAGATTATTAATGAATAGTTTATTAAGCTTGGATATTTATTTTTATGTATTTAGTACAGGGTCTCACTCTGCAGATCGGACTCATAGTGATCCTCCTGTTTTCAACCTCCCAAATGCTGGGATTATAGGCACACGCTACCACGCCCAGTCTCAATTGCCATCTCAGCATGCCCTGCAGACAGGGTTGGCACCGCACGCTGGGGATTGAATCCTGGCCGCTGTGTTCTGCCCAGGCAGGCACTTTAGTCCGCTGAGCTATCTGACCGGCCTAGCCTGGATATTTATTTACTTTTGTTGATTCCATGTTCCTTTCCTCTGATTACACTATCGATCTTAGACATAATTGATGTAATAATAATGATGATAACATAATGGATTTATTTACTGAGCATCTATACTATATTAAATGTTTTGCCTTTAGTATCTCACCTAATTTGAACAGCTAGCCTAAATGGTAAATATTAACTCATTTATTGAACTAATATTCATAAAGTGCCTACTATATACTATATACTATTATCCTCCCCCACCTTTTTTTAAATGTATCTGTTTGTTGCAGGGTCTCACTATGCAGCTCAGACTTGTGGTGATCCTCCTGCTTTCAGCCTCCGCAGTGCTGGGATTACAGGCGTGAGCCACTACGTCTGGGACTCTGGCTGGCTCAGCATCCCCTGGGGTCAGGGCTGGCAGGGCATGTGGTATCAGGGATGGAACTGCAGTCCCTGTGCTTGCCTAAGCTTGCCTAAGCAGGTACTTGAGTCCATTAAGCTATGTCACTGGCCCTACTATCCCATTTTTAACATTGGAAACTGAGGGTAAAAGAAGTCAAGTAATTTTCCTTGAAGCCCAGTGACAGGGTAGGATTTTAAATTTAAGGCTAGGGGCTGGGATGTAGTCCAGTGGAAGAGCACATATTACTCATGCAGGAGGCCCTGGGCTTAATCCCCAGCTCAAAACCAAAACAGTAACAAAAAGAAAAAAGCAAAACCCCACGACAAACCTAAGACTGTGCTCTGAATACTATGGCTTAAATAAAGGACCACTTTTTGGCGGGGGGCAGACCAGGGATTGAATTCAGACCCTTGCACTTGCTAGGGAAGCGCTTATTCCACTGAGCCATCTCCCCGGTCCCCAAGAACTACTTTTATAATTTATCAAAAACCTACATATATCCCGGCCTCTAAGATTTTTTAAAAATTATATGTACATTGTGAAATGATAAATGAAAGACTTGAGTTTTTAGTTCTTTCATAAAAAACAGATGGAAGATAATACTTATTTAATAATATTGCAGATAAACATCTTTCCCTATAAATACAGGATTCTAGCTTGGGACCAACCAGCATATCAGTAATCCTCCCTCCTCTGGCATCTGAAGGCTACAAACGAAGTCCCTGGTAACTGTGTAGCTGACCACAGGGCTTCCACATCCTTCATAAAGCACAAGACAGGCTTTTTACAAATAAAAGCCCAACCCCTACCCCAGGTGGGCTTGGGTGATAAGGTTAGGGGAATGGCAAGAAGTTTCCATAGAGGTACGTACCGGATTCACAGCTGAGTAGTAGGCCCAAGCCCGACAGGCTGAGCCGTGGCTCTCTGGCCCTGACCGATCGGTGGCGTGCCATACATACGTATAACTGCTATTGGGCTGGACAGCATTATCATTCTTAAACCATTCAGGAGAGTCATCTTCGTAAGTCTTTCCCTCTGATGATTTCTCATAGGCCAGGCCATGGGCATGAAGAGAATATGGTCTAGATGCCAAATTTTTAAAGTGAACCTAGAAAAAAGAATGATCTACAAATGTACTTAAGTTTAAACAAAAAATCCAAACTAAGTCTTGGCACAGTGGTATATATCTGTAGTTTGAGCTGCTGGAGAGACTGATGCAGGAGGAGAATGAATTTGAGGCTGGTTTGGACAACTTACTAAGACATTGTCTCAAAAATACAAGAAAAAAAACTGGCATGTAAGAGCCCCTGGGCTTAAACTGTGCACTAAGATAGAGA